TGCAGATGAATGAGGTTAGACTCCTTCCTCACACCATACACTCAAAAGGGATCAAGGACCTAAATATAAAAGCTAGAACTATAAAACTTAGTAAAAAAACAAAGGATAAATTTCTATGACCTTGGATTTGACTAAGAATTCTTAGATATGACACCAAGAGTATCAGCAACAAAAGAAAAAATAAACTAGATTTCCTCAAAACTAAAAATTTTTGTGCTTCAAATGACACCATCAAGAATGTACAAAGACGGTACATAGAATGAGGGAAAATATTTGCAAATCATATATCTGATTTGTATAAGGGCCTTACATTGAGAAATACATAGAAATCTTACAACTCAATAATAATTTTTTTAACACCCAATTTAAAAAATGGGTATAGGATGTGAATAGATAGTTCTCCAAGGATGATATACAAATGGCCAATAAGCACATTAAACGATCCTTAACATCATTAGTCATTAGGGAAATGAAAATCAAAACCACAATGAGATACCACTTCACACTCACTAAAATAACTAGAATCAAAAAGTGAAATAATAATAAGTGTTGGAAAATCTGTGGAGAATTCTGAACCCTCATACATTCACAGCTGGTAGAAATGTACGTGGTGTAGCTGCTTTGGTAAACAGTCTGACAGTTCCTCAAATGATTAAACATAGAGTAACCACATTGTCCAGGGAATTCACTCTTAGGTATATATAAGTGGATTATATATACTTATAATATTATAAGTGTGTATATATATATATATATACACACTTATATATATATATACACACTTATATATATATATAAGTGTGTATATATATATACACACTTATAATTATATAAGTATATATATACTTATATATAAAATATATATATATATATTTAATATATATAATATGTTTCTCTGATCTATAGATCAGAGAGAAATGAAAACATATATCTACACAAAAGTTGTACATGAATGTTTATAGCAACATTACTCATAATAGCCAAAAGGCAGAAATAACCCGATGTCCATCAATGGACAAATAGATTAACAAAATGTAGTATACCCATACATTGGAATATTATTCAACTATAAAAAGAAATGAAATACTGATTCACGCTACAATATGGATGAACCCACCAAACATGCTGAGTGAAAGAAGCTAGTCCCAAGAGACCACATATTATATGATTCCACTTATATGAAATGTTCAAAATGGGAAATCTATAGAGGTAGAAAGTAAATTAGTGTTTGCTTAGGCCTTGGAGAGGGAAATTGGGGGTTGATAGCTAAAGGGCACAAGGTTTTTTTTGAGGTGATGAAAAACTGATCTAAAACTGATTGTGGTGATGTTTGTACATATCTGTGAATAGAACAAAAAATCATTCAATTGTGCAAATTAAATGTGTGACTTG